AGTGACTGTTAAGGATGCCTTCATCCAGCAGTGGATAAATTATGGCTGCTGATGGTGATTATTACGCTTTGAGTCGCATTGAAACATGCTGGGTCGTGAGTCTGGCGTAACGCGTCTGTAGGGCAGCGTGGTGGATCGGCAGGGGGCGCTGCGGCCTTGCCTGCCGTCCCGAGCGGACCGTTGCGTCTCATCCACGCTCTTCACCACGAGGGGTCACAACAACAAGACAAAGATCCCCCCTATAGCCTTAACAGGCTGTCGGGGCAAGTGCTGTTCGCGAGTAGCGCCGACGAAGGCCGGCAAGGCACACGAGGGAATGGGTGGCCAGCACCACGCCAGCCCGCCTTTGTCCCCGCAGTGGAGATGTTTACACATCGCACCACGTATTAATTTGAGGCCGAGTCGATCTAGGGGACGCCAAGGACCGGTTCTGATCATCATCACTGGTGTTGGCCGTGAGCGAGAATCGAATTCGGGTTGCTGGATTCGGAGCGCGGCGCGCTAACCGCTGCGCCACCGTTCCTCTGCACTCACAAACTCACCACACTGCAGGCCACGTTCACTTCTCTTTCTGCATCTTCCCTCGTACTGCGCCACTTTGGAATTCGCTCCTCGCCTCGTCTCTTGTTTTTCTTTCTCTCCCCATGTTCTCAGAGACTTGCTCATTTCAAGAAAAGTTGTACTGTACGTCTTATGTATTACAACTTCAAGAGTGTGGAATGTTACTGGCCGCTTGTCGTCTTGGGCTTTTGAGTCTGCTTCGTAACCGCGAAAACATGTGTAATTGCGCTAGCGCGATCAATCAGGAGACAAAGGATTCACGTTCGGAACTCGTGCAGCGAGCAGTGCACTGCCTGGCGGTCGGGAAAAAAAGGGGCCTCTGGAAAGTGACGATCTTCGAAAATCGCGTCAATGTGATGCTCTAAATGCGTGTTTTTGTTTTCGTAAATTTCTCCCAATGTTATTCCATTCGGGAGACTCGCAGAGGGCCTCCCAACCTCTTCGTGTTCGCCAGTGGCCCACGGAAACGGACACCGCAGAGCTACCTCGCAGATGCCTCCAAATGGCGTGACTGAGTGACAAATTAGAGGGTGGCTAACTTGATTTGAAGCTTTCGTGACTGCAGGAATTAGAGGGTGGCACTTCCATACCCGGCCCGCCACAGTGAGTCATCTTCATCCCGTGACAGTGAGTCCGATGTTTTAATTCTCAGATATTTTTTTGTGTGCAATTACCTTCAACTCGCCATACGCTAGAAACCCGCTTTAATGCGCCAAATTTGCAAGTGACCCGCGAATTACTCAATTGAGATTATACACAGCAGCAGCAGCAATCATCGCCTCCTACTTGCAGCAGAATAATAATGCCTCGGCCACTCTTAAAATGAGATATCATCATGGTCTTTTGCGTGATAAACCTGGTTAAGCAACATCAACGTGAAACTTGAACCTTAAATCACCAGGAGGCTGAAACCCGGATTGGAACCCATGATATCTCAGGGGTGGCCGGCTCAGTGTTTTCTGACACGGGCCATTATGAACCCACATCAGCCGCCAAACCCGCGCGCCACCCACCCACCCATCCACCTGAATGCCCAGGTAATTTCAGACACCTGTGCTTGCGGAAATTACACTTAATCCACAGCACCCATTGTCGGATTTCTTGCGGGGAGTCATGGGGTCTGGTTTGTGGGTTGGGGGGTGGGGGGACCCGCCCGTGAGAACCAGGGGAGGGGGGGGGTCGTGGTGGGGGTCCCAAGCCGCCGTGTTCGGGTTAGGGGTAGAGCACGTGCTGGTGCCTGGTTGGCCATGCCGCCTTTTTTTTTAAACAGTCCCAGACCACACCAAGACAACAGAGTACCTCAATAAAATGGCACATTAAAATGTAACTATCGATACACGGGTAAGGGTCAAAGTCACAAAATACAATGGCAAATGTTCTATCCACCACTAATCGTCTGCTTCAGGATATTCTTTTGAACGAAAATCTACGATGGTAAGGGAGGGGACACGCTTTTTCGAAAACTTTGCTGCTGCAACGGGCAACGGCTTTGTCGCCTTTTACAACTATTGTTCTTGGGAGAGTTCAAAGGGCTAAGGGGAGACGACATGCCCCTGTCAGCGTTAAAATATTAACTAAAGATTTTTTTTATTTTACCAGGTAAGGCCCACTGAGCTGTATAGCTCTTTTTCAGAAGCGATTTGGTCACAAATTATAGCTCAAGGAAGTGGCTTATCGTGTGGAAATTTATAAGCAGCCAAATACTCTAAACGCGTGATGTTGATTCTAAATGTGGAGGGAAAAACCCGCATACCCTGGATAACAAATCCACGCGGCCACGGGGAGAGAGAGACGCCGCGAACTCCAAAACATACAGCAGCAGGCGTTAGGGTCAGGATCGGACCCATGACCTCCTTGCGCACCAGGCGAGGTCGTTAACAGAATGAATAACGATGCGATCTACATTCGTGTGTCGTGCATCGTGTATGTACATACTGTCTTGGATGTGTTTGTATGTATGTATTAAACGTGTGTGTGTGTGGGGGGGGGGGGGAAGCGATTGCGTAGTGGTTAGCGCTCTGCACTACGAACCTATCGACAGGTCCTGGGCCTCCCCATAGATCGACGAGGCTTCACGTGGTGTGGTGTGAGCATCAGCGTTTGGGGAGACAAAGGCGGCCGGGCATGTTGGCTGGCCAAATCGCCCCGTCTCCTCGTGCGCCGTGTTTGCAGCTAACCGCAGCTGTGGTTACCGTGGACGTGGTCGAGAGCTTAATAGGTGCTCGCTAAAAGCGCACTTGCTCCAATAGTCTCTTAGAGGCTAGATGGGGGGGGGGGGGGGATATTTGTCTTATTGTATAAGTTTAGAAATCTGTAAGTGCCACAGTCGCCATCCTAGTCTCCTCCTCCTCCCCCACCCCCTCTGGAGGACACCGCTCTGCCCGGGATTAGGGGCTCAGCTCGCGAGCTCCGGGCAGAGCGGAGTCGGTCACCTTTGTTCTGTAGCCTCCAGACCCCGAGGGCAAATGAACGGGGAGTCTCCGAGACCCCTGGAGTCCCCTTGGGTGTCCGAATGGGTCACCCACGGGACGATGGGGCTGAGAGGCATGGTGAGGCCGCATCCCTCCCACTCTTCTATCGCGACTGCTACCACGATTACCGTTCCCGAGAACTTCACTCACGGATTCCTCTAACCGGTGTTGTGGATTGTTGGAGGAGTCCAGACTGACGATTTGGTTTGTCCTAATCCTCACAACTCCATTGACCTGGCACTGCTGGAGTTGGTCTTCAACTCGGCAGGGGGCGAGCTGAAACAATAAACGCGATTCAATTGGTTTGGCCGCGTCGGGTGGTCGAGGGTCTTAACCACGCAGATTTTGGTCAGAAAAATAAGCAAAAGCTTAATAATCGTAATATTGGCTGCTGTTTGTTGCTGGCTTATTGGCGTTTTGGGCCTTTAATAAACAATTAAAAGTTAGAGTTAGGGTGTGTGGGTTGGCGTTAGGCAGTGGAGGGGTTAGGGTTGGGAGCTGGTGGGGGGGGGGGTGGTCAGATCTAAGATCTGTTTACGTTATCCGCCCCTCCTTTTAACTACACAAACACAACGCAGCTCACTCGCATCAGCGCCAGGGTCGCCTCCTGTGCTCCGAGTGCCGGGACGCCAGCCAAATATTTATTTAGACTGGAGGAATCTGATGAGCTATAAAGCTCTTTTTCCACAGATGTCCAGTAGGGGCGGGTCAGAACGTGGAGGGTCAGCGGCGTCAATCGAGAGACATTCACTCATAGAGGCAGACGGTGGTCACCGCATCGCGCTCTTTCAGATGCACTTCTGCGGCCGTCTGGAACGCTCTTCCTTCCGATATTAGGAAGCCACTGGAGAAATGCACTTTTGAGTAATCTACATCGAAAACAAAATTTATTTTAAAATGTTTTTTTCTGTTTAGTTTATTGTCCTTCTCCCCCGCCTCTCCGATTAGCGCGGTTGGCAATGTACGGTGCCAAAGAAGTTCAGCAAAACATACATACTGCCAAGTAACGCACGAACGCGCCCGAGTGGATGTGCACCCAGGAGATGGGAGCCATGAATAGAAAAAAAGTAAGGAGCCGTCCATAAATGACGTCACGCGATTTTGGACGATTTTTGACCCCCCCCCCCCTTCGCCACACGGCGTCATAAAAACTCAGACCCCCCCTCAAATATGACGTCACAAAGCTCTGCCCCCCCCCCACAAAAAAAACATGCTTCAAATCGCTTTAAACTATTGTCATTGTAGTGTGTATTTAATGTGACGCTGCGCTCTGATGTTGCAGGAGAAAACATTTATTAAAAAGTCTATTTAATTAAGTAGAACGTGTTGTCTGTATTTATTTAAAGTTGCGCATTTAGATGTGACGTCACATTTTTCCCTCCCCCCCCCATCTCGTCACATATCGTTACAAATGTTTGACCCCCCCCCCCCCAAATAGGTGCGTGACGTCATTTATGGACGGCCCTTAACTGTGGCCCGCTCGGGGCTGGGACACGTGGCAAGATGCGATGATGACCGACTGACGAGATTAACCTTGCAAGGGGCGTGAAGCCAAAGGGGGGAAACGTTTCGCGTCCACTCGGGGAGACGGGAGCGATGAATCCAGCTAATGGTAGAGATTTGCTGGGTCAATTAATATATTTTTTTTCATACCGGAGGAAATCCGATGAGCTATAAAGCTTTTTTTCACAGATGGGATCGTATGAGACATGGCAGCGGCTTGGGGAAGCCTCCATCAAGCTGTGCATTGATCTTGACTGATAACGATTATGATTAAGATCATTATTTCCTTGACTAATTTCTGACAGGCGATCCATCGGCTTACCCCGAATTCCCCTTCTGTCTCTGGCTTCACGTGGTTTTCAATTTCGTAGCGCGCACACACGCGCGCGCCCCAAACCCCGCCCCCCCCCCGCACACCCCTCCCCCCGGCGTGGCCTCCCGACCAATCACAACACGCGCGGTGTGGCGCATGCGCTCTAGGAAATGCAATCACCTCCGCCACCAACCACAACTACCAACCAGCCAACCACCACCACCACCACGACCGCCACCACCAAACCCAACAACCAAAGGCCTCGTCCGCCTTCGCGCTCTGCCTCGTTACGCCATGCGTCGGTGCGAAGCGCGCGCCGCCGCCGTCGCCCTCCTCCTTTGCGCTGTGCTCCTCTCCCCGGGGCGCACGGCCGACCACGCCGCAGACTCCTCCCGTAAGCCGCGCGTGGGTTGCGTAGTCTCGCCCTGGCGCAGGTCCTGGCGCGGGCCCTGGCGCAGGCCCTGGCGCAGGCCCTTGCACAGGCCCTGGTGCAGGCCCTTGCACAGGCCCTGGCGCAGGCCCTGGCGCAGGCCCTGGCACAGGCCCTGGCACAGGCCCTGGCTAGGGGTGGGTGTAGCGGCGGCGTGGGGGTCACCGTCTCTCGGATAGAAGCTCCCCGCCGGGCACCCTGCGCCTGATGAGGCAGCGGCCTCTAGGCGACACCGGGGTTGGCCCCCTGACGCCGTGTGGCCTTCCCCCCCCCCCCCCACCCTTGAACAGCAGCAATGACGACACTAATTATAGATACATAATAATAAAGGTTTATTTGTTGGTGTGGGGGTGGGTGTTAGATCGCGTAACTATGAATGCGTCGTTAATAATCATAGACGTGACACTGAAGCGAGGCGCGGCGCTTATCCAACGGCGCCAAGCCATTCAAGTGACCCCCCTCCCCGGCCTCTGGCCAACACCCTCGGCGGCCGTAGTGGGTTCAACCACCCTCGATGGGCCGGTCACTCCTGGTGCGGGACAAAGTGTGGGTGACACCCATCCCTCTCGCTCTCGCTTGGACGTCTGGCCAACGTGGAAGAGCAGACCAAGCTGAGCTATGGCGCGGGGCGGGGAGGGGGTCTGGAGCTCTCGCCGGCGTGCGAGTTGAGATCTGTTATGCGGGGGGTCGCGTCTGAAGCTTTGTCGCTGCTGCATTTGGGGGGGGGGGGGGGGTTGTTTGACCTCTTTTGGGGGGGGGATGTTTGACCTCTGGGGGGGATGTTTGACCTCTTGTGGGGATGTTTGACCTCTTTGGGGGGGATGTTTGACCTCTTTGGGGGGGATGTTTGACCTCTTTGGGAGGGATGTTTGACCTCGGGGGGATGTTTGACCCCTTTGGGAGGGATGTTTGACCTCTGGGGGGGGATGTTTGACCTCTTTGGGGGGAATGTTTGACCTCTTTGGGGGGATGTTTGACCTCTTTGGGGGGGATGTTTGACCTCTGGGGGGGATGTTTGACCTCTGGGGGGATGTTTGACCTCTTCGGGGATGTTTGACCTCCTCGGGGGGATGTTTGACCTCTGAGGGGAATGTTTGACCTCTGGGGAGGATGTTAGACCTCTTGGGGAGGCTGTTTGACCTCTGGGGGGGATGTTTGACCTCTTTGGGGGAGGTGTTTGACCTCTTCGGGGGGATGTTTGACCTCTTTGGGGGGAATGTTTGACCTCTGGGGAGGATGTTTGACCTCTTTGGGGAGAATGTTTGACCTCTTTGGGGGGGTGTTTGACCTCTTTGGAGAGGATGTTTGACCTCTTTGGGGGGGATGTTTGACCTCTTTGGGGGAGGTGTTTGACCTCTTGGGGGGATGTTTGACCTCTTTGGGGAGGATGTTTGACCTCTTTGGGGGGGATATTTGACCTCTTTGGGGGGGTGTTTGACCTCTTAGGGGAGATGTTTGACCTCTGGGGGGGATGTTTGACCTCTGGGGGGATGTTTGACCTCTGGGGGGATGTTTGACCTCTGGGGGGGATGTTTGACCTCTGGGGGGGATGTTTGACCTCTTTGGGGGAGGTGTTTGACCTCTTCGGGGGGATGTTTGACCTCTTGGGGGGGATGTTTGACCTCTTTGGGGGGGGTGTTTGACCTCTTTGGGGGGATGTTTGACCTCTGGGGGGGATGTTTGACCTCTTGTCGCGATTGTTGTGTTCGCGAGGAAAAAAACCCGGGGCTCGCTTAATCATGGCTCGAGTTTAACGCCTAAAGTCCCCTCGACAAATCGTTCTGCCACCTACTTGCTAGCCTCATAATCGCTATCCATGGCCTGATAGCACGTCGGTGTCCACTGCACATTTCGTCATTTGTTTTCAAGCTATTTCCCCCGTCTTGTGCCACAATATTCCCGAGTAGTTGGCACGCCTTCAACCCATTCTCTTGTTCCGGTGATGCTCACGTGTGGCATGTGGCCGGTCCACTCGAAGCGCCGATCGGCGACTGTGCAAGTCCTGATTTAAAGCTTTCGTGACTGCAGTAATTCATATTCTTAGTTTTTTCGGTAAAGTCACGTTGAAGAGAAACAACAAAATAACAAAATATATATAAAACAATAAAAAATTCTCACGACGTTTCGACCAAAAATTCTCACGACGATGCATAAATTTATGCATAAAAAATAAATTTATGCATAAATTTATGCAAACCGACACACCTGATGATGACCGTTTGAGTTATGGTCGAAACGTCGTGAGAATTTTTTATTGTTTTATATATATTTTGTTATTTTGTTGTTTCTCTTCAACGTGACTTTACCGAAAAAACTAAGAATATGTGCAAGTCCTGTTCGCCGATCTTCGACCGAGATCGTTCGACGGTCCCTGTGGAGTTTCGCGGGTCGAGTCCCCATGGCCGCTCCTTGATTAAGGCTGCGGATGCGTTGACCACAAAATGCCACGCGGGCCGCCTGCTACACAGCGGACGTTACAGATCCTGTGACATTCGAAAAAGTGTCGCGGTCCAAATTTACGAGCAGGTTGCTCGGCTGGAAAAACGCACGTAGCGTTGGCCCCTACTACGAAACTTTGCAGCACCTGAAATATTGTGACCGCTATTCGGCTCCCTAGTAAGGGAAGGTTGCCCTCCCCTTGATGTGCGTGTGCACTACGACTGGCCTGTAGTTTAGCCCTATCGTTTTGTTCACCCGTTCTAGATGGTGGGGGGCTCGACGAGAATGGCGGTGGGGGGCCCGGTGGGGAGGCCCCCCCGGTCGACTTCATGAAGCCCGAGGAGGCCACGGTGGAGGAGCAGGGAGACTTCTCGGATCTCCTCGCCGCTGTCACACGGCTCCTCAGGCCACCTGACAGGCCGGCCGAGGAGGGAGCGGAGGCCGAGGTGGAGGTGGAAAATGACGAGGAGGTTGAGGAAGTGGAGGGTGTCGAGGTGGAGGAGGAGGAGGAAGAGGACGAGGAGGACGAGGAGGACGGGGGAGAGGACAGTCAGGTGCCGGGGCTGTCGATGGTGCCGGGCAACCCGGTGCAGGCGGAGGACGGCGGCGGCCGGGATAACGCCACGGAGGCTGCCGCGCGGCCCCCCAAGATCAACTGCACGGAGCGCGCGGATCCCGGCGAGGCCCTGGGGGTCTACATCCTCCAGCAGTCGCAGGTGAGCGGACTGATACCGGTGAAGTGTTGCGGGACCCCGCTTGGCAAGCACGGGGGAGCTACCAGAATGTGCATGGACGCATAGAGATACAGTGACCATCAACATGGCAATATTTTTGGTTTGTAACGCGTTCGGTATTCGCGTGAGGATCCACAGGCAAGCATGAAAGCAGGGGTGAGTCTGCATTACCAACAATTACCCAAGCTCTGTGGCCCTCGATATATTAAGATGTTTTCAACCAATTGGAGGGTTTATACACGTGGGAGGAAACCGGAGTACCCGGAGAAAACCCACACGTGCCAGGGGGCAACACTCCACCCTGTCAACATTTTCTCGACCTCCTCCCGGCGAGCCCAGGATATTGCACCTCGATAACCACAGGAAAGGACTTGTACAACATGGGTGCAGTGATCCCACAACCCTCGCTGCTGCCTCCAAAGTGCTGGCATCCATGTGCGTTAGTTGCCGGCACCCCCACCACCAGGCTCCGTGTGCGCGCATTGCCGGCACCACCACCACCACCACCATCGCCGGGCTCCGTGTGCGTGCGTAGCCACCACCACCACCAGGCTCCGTGTGCGTGCGTAGCCAGCACCACCACCACCGCCGCTCGTCTCTGCGTGCGTGCGTCTGCAGGATCTGCTCGAGGTGCTGAACGGCAGTGGCAGCGAGTGCGCCGTCGTCCTCTTCTTCGCGCCCTGGTGCCAGTTCTCGGCCGGGCTGGCGCCGCACTTCAACGCGCTGGCGCGAGCCTTCCCCTCCTTCCACTTCGTGGCGCTGGACGCCTCCCAGCACAGCAGGTGCCCCCCCCCCCCCACAAACCTGCCCCTCGCACTACCCCTCAAACCCCAAACCAACCCACGCACCCAAAACCAATCCACCCATGTAACACGTAGACCTCAAACCCACCCTTCCCTCACCGCCCCCAAAGCCCAAAACAATGTGAGAGTTAAAACTTGAAAATTAACTAAGATTTTTCACCCCCCCCACCCCCCGCCGTGATGCAATTGACTCAATTGCGGGTCGTGATTAATAATTGTTTTTCGTTTCCTCTCTCCCCATGTCTCCTCGTGTTTCTCCCTTCTCTTCTCTCCTCCTGTCTCCCCGTATATCCCCTTGTCTCTGGGTGTGTTGCTGTGTGTCTCCCGTGTCCCTGTGTCTCCCACTTGTCTCTCCGTGTCTCTGTGGCGTGTCCCAGCCTGGCAACGCGCTTCGGCACGGTGGCTGTGCCAAACATTCTGCTGTTCCAGGGAGCGAAGCCGGTGGCGCGGTTCAACCACACGGAGAGAACCTTGCCCGCGCTCTCCTCCTTCCTTCTCAACCACACAGGTCTCCACCCAGCGTTGCACTCATTAGCATCGCGCTGATCATCGCTATCATACGCCTCATCGTCGTTGCACTCATCGGCAACTGTATGCATAAATACATGTGCGTGATGTCCAGAGCGATTTGCTTGCATCGTCACCGATGGCTCAAGTGCGGTTTTTCCCAGCGTGCGGCGCGTGCGGTGCGCGCAGTTAAGACTTGGTGTCCCCGCGGCGGTCTGCTCGTGGCCGCAGGAGTGCCTGCGGACGAGCAAGTGGCGGTGACACCGCAGGACCTGGAGGGGCCCGTGCCAAGCGAGGTGGCGCGTGCCACGGACTGGCTGCTCGTCTTCTCGCTCGCCTTCATTGCCGCGTTCCTCGCGTACGGTGCCAGCCAGACCGGCGTGCTGCGCCGCGTCATGCCCGCCGCCTGGCACCACCAGCGCCAGCAGCACCAACACCAGGACTGAGCTGCTCGCCAGTCTCCGACGTGTGCGTATGGTGGTGGTGGGGGGGGGGGGGGTGTCCACCTAAGCACTACCCCAACACCTGCCCACCGCCACCCTGTGTGGCTACACTGTGGAGATATTTTTGTATAAAGCACAGCACGTTAGTGTGGTGGTTGCAGCGATGGTGGCGCGTCACCAGTGCGGCATGTTAACATCAGCACTGGAGAGACAATGGAGACCGAGCGTGGTGATGGCCAACACCACCCCCCTCCCTGGCACCCCCTGTGCACAGCGGCGGCCTTTACAGGTGCTCACAAGACCAGCACTTGCCCCCACGTCCTGTTCAAGGCTATACCGGGGGATTACAGCTTTTCTGGCATCGTGTGACGTGCTGGTGATGCACGTGCCAGTCCACCCCGTGAGATGCGGGCCCATCCTGGGACCGCATCGCCGTGGCGCAAGTATCGAGTGTGCAGGCGGTGCAATCACATCAGGGCCCAATGTTTCGGAAGGACCCGGGCACTGGGCAAAGAAGAGAGGTTTGTTGGGGGGGGGGAGGGGGGGGGCTGGCAGGAATTGGATGGGGTTTAGGGGGCCTCGTTTAAATCGTTGCACCAGGGCTCATTCCAACCTCACTATGCCGCTGCACCCAGTGGAAAGCTTTAACTACTCCACTTTGCCTAAGAGTGCACCTAGCTTGGCGCAAGTGCCATGGTTACGTTGTTTTGCCTGTGTGCGTGGAAAATGCGTCCGCCGTGGGAGGGACGTGACAACGTTGCAGGGTTGTCCGCGTGCGTGTAGGCACGCGGACAGTTGTACACGTGGTTTTGGACACAATCCAACCATGGTGAGTTTAGCCCACCATCCATCGGTGTCATCTCTTTATAATAATAACAATAAAACAATTTGGAAATGCGCACACATTTCTGGTTAATGCACCTGCAGTGTTAACCAAGGCGGCCGTTGGGCTCGAACCACGAACCTCTGCAACGAGCGGCAAAATTCAATCCTGCTAGGTCATCTGTCACCACGACGTCCGTCTTTGTCTTCCTCTTGCCCTTGTGCCCTTGATTCTCCCAAGGAGATAGTGTGGCAGTCGGGCTCTCCCTGTGAGCCTCTGGGTACATGTCCACCATAGCGAGAGCTTGTACTGGATGTGGTGTGCCGGGCATGGGAACATTTTCTGAATTTCCACCCCAGCTCGTACTCACTGGAATTAAACCCTGGCCGTCCTGTTCTTGTTTGACTTGATTCAAACGTAATTGTTTGCTAATATCCCATTATTACTTGTAACTCGCCATTAGCACACAGGTTTTCACAGCTGGTGTTACGATTCGTAACTGAGACATCTTTCACGTCTGATTGTGTTCTAAGCGTCACCCTAAAATGCGAGATCTCAAACGCTTGTGAGGTTAGTAATTTATTGAAAATGAGCGATGTACTGTACATATATTAAATGAACGGGCACTGTGGCTGTCCCCCAACGTCCTCTCACGCCCCCACCCCCACCACGCTCCCACCCCCACGACCCCGGTCCTCTCAGCCTGTGTCTCGCTTGGCATTTTATGAAAGATCGGACGACGTAACAACATTTCTAAGCAGACGATTCGCCTGCTTCTCGCGCCTGTTCCTCCACACAAGAGATCAAAGTTACTTTACACATCCCTGCAGCCACACGGAGGCAGATGTAGACATTCTAAATCCAGCCCTACATTTATAATGATTAAAAAAAAACATTCAATGTCTTTTCTCTGCTAAATATAAAACAATGCCAATTTTGGGTGGGCCAGGAGGGGCAAGGGATCCCTGCCCCCCACCCTACTTTGGATCTGTCACTGTCAGGGAGTGCATAATGTGGAGGTGAATCATCCAATCTCGTAATTTATATTCCGCACGACGACGCCAACGATGACTGTGTGATGTTGAGAATATTTCGTCCCCGGCACAGCTTCGAGGTGGAGACGATGTGTTTGTATTGGCAGAGTGGGGCTGAAAATGTCACGTGCCTGGTGTGTATGTTGTTGTTGTTGTTAATACCACAGGGATCTGCTGTACAATAAAGTTTTAGAATATGGTTTTGGGTTCATGGCGTCTTGGTGCGATGAGTTATTTGTTGGGCTGCGTTTAATGAGGATGATGGCACTGTCGGTCACTGCATTTCTACTAAGCTTGCCGTGATGTGACGATACTGTGATACGTCGTACGATACTCTGATACATCGTACGATACTCCGATACATTGTATGTTTCTGCAATACGCTGAATGGTGTAAGACCCACGATAATCGCATCTTCCGCTTTGCAAAATATCCCCCCCATGTTGCGGTTGTCGTTCATGTTCTCTTCACAATATATTCCCGACAATATGAATCGGCAAAAGAGATGAATTGCTTTGTAAAGCACTCTGGGAGTCATAATTGATTATTTGGAGGATTAAGCCACGCAATGATCTGGCCGAATGTCGTAAAACCTTCCACCGCCCGACATCCAAATGCATCAAATCGTCACGTGCCCAAAGCGTTTGAAAGCGTCCAATCGTCAATTCGGTTCACGACAGCGGCTTGAAGAAATCACCCCACGGCAAAACTCGGCAATGTTTTGGTCGACGTTTCTCTTGAAACGGCAGTAAAGCATCACCAGAACCTATGAAGTCGGACATCTTCCGGATTGATTGACGGGCGTGGAAAATAAATGTCGGCCGTCAATTTCGTATCTTGAATGCTTTGTGTGTCGCGGCCGATGGGCGCGGTCGCCGTGAGTGTCAGCAGATCGTCAAAGTCGCAGTGATTTTTAGATGACATGGAGGTAGGGTGGGGGGGGCGCAGGCTTATGTTGAGAGAACTGCAGGCGAAATAACAACTTTCCCGAGTGAATTTCTTTGTCCACGATATACGGAAAAGCAAGATGCAAAAATAAATGTCCCGTGCGATAACAAAGTTACGGGGAAACTGATATCGCGATGATTGTCGCATCGTGAACATTAATATTGTACCATTTTGTTAAATATCAGAATCAAAATATATATTGACACTGGAGGAATCCGATGAGCTGTTAAGCTCATTTTCACGTGTCCAGTAGGGGCAGGTCAGAACGTTACAACAACAAACAATAAAAAAAACACGGTAGGATATTTCGGCACCACGAGCTTTCTGTTAAGAAGTAAACGATCTTACTGGTAGGAAACGTAGTGGAAGCCCAACCGGGATTAATTCACAGGAGGCAGGGGATTAATTGTGGATGTCTGTCCACGTGGGAGAGGTGGGGCTGGGTCGAGAGGGGAGGGAAGGGAGGGGCTGGGTGGGGAGGGGCTGGGTGGGGAGGGTGGGGCTGGGTGGGAGGTGGGAGGGGTGGGGCTGGGTGGGGTGGGGCTGGGTGGGGAGGGGCTGGTCACCCCGTGGTGCCCCTATAAAATTCAACGTTTAACCTACTCACGCCGGCTTGTGCCCGCCCTCACAGTCGGGCATCTTTTCGGAATGCACCACGCCGCCGCTGACCCTGGCCGTTGACCGAGCAACCAACCCGACGTTCCTACCAGCTCCCTCCGCAGGAATGTGTTTGATTTGAATCAAATAGCTCAATGGGTGTACCGGGTTGTCCTCAAGTGTTTAAAAGTGAGGGTGTCAACTTCCTCAAGTGTTTAAAGGGTGTCAACTTCTTCAAGTGTTTAAAAGTAAGGATGTCAACTTCCTCAAGTGTTTAAAAGGGTGTCAACTTCCTCAAGTGTTTAAAAGTAAGGATGTCAACTTCCTCAAGTGTTTAAAAGTGAGGGTGTCAACTTCCTCAAGTGTTTAAAAGGGTGTCAACTTCCTCAAGTGTTTAAAAGTAAGGGTGTCAACTTCCTCAAGTGTTTAAAAGGGTGTCAACTTCCTCAAGTGTTTAAAAGTGAGGGTGTCAACTTCCTCAAGTGTTTAAAAGGGAGGGTGTCAACTTCCTCAAGTGTTTAAAAGTAAGGGTGTCAACTTCCTCAAGTGTTTAAAAGGGTGTCAACTTCCTCAAGTGTTTAAAAGTGAGGGTGTCAACTTCCTCAAGTGTTTAAAAGTAAGAGTGTCAACTTCCTCAAGTGTTTAAAAGTAAGAGTGTCAACTTCCTCAAGTGTTTAAAAGTAAGGGTGTCAACTTCCTCAAGTGTTTAAAAGGGTGTCAACTTCCTCAAGTGTTTAAAAGTGAGGGTGTCAACTTCCTCAAGTGTTTAAAAGTAAGAGTGTCAACTTCCTCAAGTGTTTAAAAGGGTGTCAACTTCCTCAAGTGTTTAAAAGGGTGTCAACTTCCTCAAGTGTTTAAAAGTGAGGGTGTCAACTTCCTCAAGTGTTTAAAAGTGAGGGTGTCAACTTCCTCAAGTGTTTAAAAGTAAGGGTGTCAACTTCCTCAAGTGTTTAAAAGGGTGTCAACTTCCTCAAGTGTTTAAAAGTGAGGGTGTCAACTTCCTCAAGTGTTTAAAAGTGAGGGTGTCAACTTCCTCAAGTGTTTAAAAGTAAGGGTGTCAACTTCCTCAAGTGTTTAAAAGTGAGGGTGTCAACTTCCTCAAGTGTTTGAAAGGGTGTCAACTTCCTCAAGTGTTTAAAAGTGAGGGTGTCAACTTCCTCAAGTGTTTAAAAGTGAGGGTGTCAACTTCCTCAAGTGTTGCCTGCAAGGGTCTGGAATTCCTTGACGGCGGTGATGGGCCCCGCTACGAGCTTCTCTCATTTCGGAGGGGGGCGTGCGAGACTTTCATTTAGGGGCCGTCCATAAATGACGTCACGCACCTAGGGGGTGGGGGGGGTCAGATTTTTGTGACGATGTGTGACGAGGGGGGGGCGGTGAGAAATGTGACGTCACATCAAAATGCGAAACTTTAAATAAATATAGAATTGTTAGAACAACACTAATTGTTATGACAACACTCCTACAATATCAGAGTGCAGCGCCACATTAAATACGCACTACAATGACAATAGTTTTATTTCCAAAATGGAAATATGGTTTGGGGGGGGGGCAGAGCTTTGTGACGTCATATTTGAGGGGGGGTTGACTTTTTGTGACGCTGAGTGACGAGAGGGGGGGGGGGTCAAAAATCATCCAAAATCGCGTGACGTCATTTATGGACGGCCCCTGGCACAAAATATCCCTGGGTTTTGTCCCACGTTCAACCGCATCCACTGCGCAGACCGTGGCAGCAGATGCGGATAGCTGGTGATGCACAACTGGAACATGTAGAACACTGTAGTGGTGCCACGTCTGTGGTCAGAGCGTAACAGCGTCGCAATGTCACCACCGATTCACAAATACGAAGAGGGAGACATCAGCGACGACGATGATGCAGCTGACTCCGCTGCCTCTGACGTGGTTTGTCCGAGCTTGACCACCTATAAGTGAAGTTGTAAGTCGCTGCTCTGAATCTACATCAGTCGTATGAAAGATGATTTAAAAATATATATATCTGTCCGGAGTTTCTAGATTTTAAGTTTTCGTGACTTATATAAACCCTATTCTTGGTTCTTTCGGTAAAGTCACGTAGAAGGGAAACGATAAAATAATCAATAATCATTATTTTCGTCTCCCCCCTCCTCTTTTCCGAACATAGATGGACTCGTCCATCTCAAATCGCTCTCCGTGGTGCTAACGTTAAAAAAAACCCGCCACTTTTTTCAAATTTTCTTGCTGTGGGTTTTCACACCTGATGTTGATTGCTTGTGTTGCAGTCGAAACGTCGTGAGAATTTTATTGTTTTATATTTGTTATTATTTTATTGTTTCCCTTCTACATGGTGACTTTACCGAAAGAACCAAGAATATGAATCCCTGCAGTCACGAAAGCTTTAAATCAAAAATCATATAAACCCTCTTAACTCCGGCATCTCTCCCACTTAAGTAAATCAAATGTCTTGCTGTGGTTGTCACACCTGATGATGATTGCTTGTGTCGCTATCGAAACACCGCGATGTATTAATTAATTTATTATATTTGTATTTTCACCCACGAGTGTCTGTCCGGAGGTTTTTTTATCGTCGGTTTGAACGGGAGATTTCCCTCTGACCTGGCAACGCGTGACGCGCAAGTCTGAGCCAATCTCCATCCCTTCCCACACGTGTCGTGCCGTGGGTCCCCTTTGGTGACCCCTGCCCCCCACACCATGCGCTCCCTGCTCCGCCTCGCCTCCTACAGGGGTCCGGGTCCCCTCTGCAGAGCCCCCAGGACCATGGTGAGCGGGGATCTGGGGGATCGGGTACCCAGGTCCCCTTGATGGTAGGGGTGAGTGTGGTAGGGGTGAGCGTGTTTGGGGTGAGCGTGGTTGGGATGAGCGTGTTTGGGGTGAGTGGAGTAGGGGTGAGTGTGGTAGGGGTGAGTGTGGTAGGGGTGAGTGTGGTAGGGGTGAGTGTAGTTGGGGTGAGTGTAGTAGGGGTGAGTGTGGTAGGGGTGAGTGTAGTAGGGGTGAGTGTGGTTGGGGTGAGTGTAGTAGTGGTGAGTGTGGTAGGGGTGAGTGTGGTAGGGGTGAGTGTGGTAGGGGTGAGTGTAGTAGGGGTGAGTGTGGTAGGGGTGAGTGTGGTAGGGGTGAGTGTGGTTGGGGTGAGTGTGGTAGGGGTGAGTGTGGTAGGGGTAAGTGTGGTTGGGGTGAGTGTGGTAGGGGTGAGTGTGGTAGGGGTGAGTGTGGTTAGAGTGAGCGTGGTTGGGGTGAGTGTGGTAGGGGTGAGTGTAGTAGGGGTGAGTGTGGTAGGGGTTAGTGTGGTAGGGGTGAGTGTGGTAGGGGTGAGTGTGGTAGGGGTGAGTGTGGTAGGGGTGAGTGTGGTAGGGGTGAGTGTGGTAGTGGTGAGTGGTTGGGGTGAGTGTGGTAGGGGTGAGTGTGGTGGGGGTGAGTGTAGTAGGGGTGAGTGTGGTTGGGGTGAGTGTGGTAGGGGTGAGTGTGGTAGTGGTGAGCGTGGTTGGGGTGAGTGTGGTGGGGGTGAGTGTGGTAGGGGTGAGCGTGGTAGGGGTGAGTGGTTGGGGTGAGTGTGGTAGGGGTGAGCGTGGTAGGGGTGAGTGTGGTAGGGGTGAGTGTGGTAGGGGTGAGTGTGGTAGGGGTGAGCGTGGTAGGGGTGAGTGGTTGGGGTGAGTGTGGTAGCGGTGAGTGTACTAGGGGTGAGTGGTTGGGGTGAGTGTGGTAGCGGTGAGTGTGGTAGCGGTGAGTGTGGTAGGGGTGAGTGTCGTAGGGGTGAGTGTGGTAGTGGTGAGTGTGGTAGGGGTGAGTGTGGTAGGGGTGAGTGTAGTAGGGGTGAGTGTGGTAGGGGTGAGTGTGGTAGGGGTGAGTGTGGTGGGGGTGAGTGTAGTAGGGGTGAGTGTGGTTGGGGTGAGTGTGGTAGGGGTGAGTGTGGTAGTGGTGAGTGTGGTAGGGGTGAGTGTGGTAGGGGTGAGTGTAGTAGGGGTGAGTGTGGTAGGGGTGAGTGTGGTAGGGGTGAGTGTGGTGGGGGTGAGTGTAGTGGTGAGTGTGGTAGGGGTGAGTGTGGTAGGGGTGAGTGTAGTAGGAGTGTAGTAGGGGTGAGTGTAGTAGGGGTGAGTGTGGTGGGGGTGAGTGTAGTAGGGGTGAGTGTGGTTGGGGTGAGTGTGGTTGGGGTGAGTGTGGTAGTGGTGAGTGTGGTAGGGGTGAGTGTGGTAGGGGTGAGTGTAGTAGGGGTGAGTGTAGTAGGGGTGAGTGTGGTAGGGTGAGTGTGGTAGGGGTGAGTTTCGTAGGGGTGAGTGTGGTAGGGGTGAGTGTGGTAGGGGTGAGTGTGGTAGTGGTGAGTGTGGTAGGGGTGAGTTTGGTAGGGGTGAGTGTAGTAGGGGTGAGTGTGGTAGGGGTGAGTGTAGTAGGGGTGAGTGTAGTAGGGGTGAGTGTGGTAGGGGTGAGAGTGGTAGGGGTGAGTGTGGTAGGGGTGAGTGTAGTAGGAGTGTAGTAGGGGTGAGTGTGGTTGGGGTGAGTGTGGTAGGGGTGAGTGTGGTGGGGGTGAGTGTGGTAGGGGTGAGTGTGGTAGGGGTGAGTGTAGTAGGGGTGAGTGTAGTAGGGGTGAGTGTGGTTGGGGTGAGTGTGGTAGGGGTGAGTGTGGTGGGGGTGAGTGTGGTGGGGGTGAGTGTAGTAGGGGTGAGTGTGGTAGGGGTGAGCGTGGTAGGGGTGAGTGTGGTTGGGGTGAGTGTCGTATTTGTGAGTGTGGTATTTGTGAGTGTAGTAGGGGTAAGTGTGGTTAGGGCTAGTGTGGTTAGGGCTAGTGTGGTTACGTGTTGTGTCGAGCTGAATTTCACGGTGTGATGATGCACTGCTGGATGAAGACCTGTGCCTCCACCCATCTCAGTCATGGGGGGGGCGGGGGGGGGGGGGGTTACAGTATTTGACCATACTTCACCAAGCCCGGTCAGTGAAAGTCGGGGGTGTGGTGGTGGCGGCCATGGGCTATCGTGGTCGAGTGAGCAGCGTTGACCGCGCATTTGAGTGGTTGCCAGCTGGGCCCCGCATCCCCGTTGGGCCTCCCAGACACCCCCCAGAGGGAGTGGAACGAGGGCAGCAGCCTTGGCACGCGGCCCACTCCGTCCCCGTGGGACAAATCACGACGAAGGGCCACGGACGAGGTGACCACCGAACATCGACCAATCGTCGATCTCTCCCGCTCTCCGGAGCAGCGGACACACGCCACGACCCGTGATGCTCTGAACCTCGAACCTCCCAGACGAGGTGCGGTGGGCCCGGCCCTGACCTCCCTCGGTGTCCCCCCCCCCCCCCCCACTCTCTGTCCAGACCTCGGCACCGCGGCCCCCGGCAGGCCGGCCCGGCCTCCTTGGGCCCGTGGAGCGAGAGGAGAGGCTGGCCGAGCTCGGCGAGGCCGGCTGGACGATGGCCGAGGGACGGGACGCGCTCACCAAGAGGTTCACCTTCGCCAGCTTCAACCAGGTAGGGGCTCATAAACTATTTATTTTATTGACCGGGTAAGGCCCCGCTGAGCTGTTAGAGCTCATTTTTTAGAAGCAACCTGGCTGTCACAAATGATAGCTGAACCAAGTGGCTCGTCATCACGTGGAAATGTAGAGCAGCAAACACTCTGGACGCGTGATGATGTTGATTCTCAATGCGGAGGGGGAAACCGGAAGGACCCGGAGAAAAATCCACGCGACCACGGGGAGAGAGAGAGACAAACGCAGGCTTCAAATATACAGCAGCAGGCGTCAGGGTCGGGATTGAACCCACGACCTCCTGTATACCAGGCGAGGTAGTTAACATCTCACCACCGTAGCGCCCAGTGAGGAAGCCATGCACGGCTACAGAGCGCAGCACTGCCCATCTCCTTCCCACTCTTTACTCCATCCCCCACCGTGTGTGTGTGCGGGATGCTCACAACAACGAGTGGAACACTGGGCAGTTAAAATGCAGCAAGGTGGTGCATCTGCTAGTCATCTTGCTCAGTCAACCCACGACACTTGGGTCTGTCCCGTGACCTCCTGCACCTAGCCTGGCACAGCAGTCAACCCTTGGCACCTGGGTCTGTCCCGTGACCTCCTGCACCTAGCCTGGCACAGCAGTCAACCCAAGACACCTGGGTCTGTCCCGTGACCTCCTGCACCTAGCCTGGCACAGCAGTCAACCCAAGACACCTGGGTCTGTCCCGTGACCTCCTGCACCTAGCCTGACACAGCAGTCTACCCATGGCACCTGGGTCTGTCCCGTGACCTCCTGCACCTAGCCTGGCACAGCAGTCAACCCAAGACACCTGGGTCTGTCCGTGAGCTGTCAGCAGGGTGCCTTCCGCACTTCACTTGACAGCCTAAAAGTGCACCTAGCCTGGCACAAGCGCTGTTGTGATGTCACCACCACTTAGCGGCGAACGGAGTCTGTTGTTTCCTTGTGGGTGTGAGTGCGTGCGTGAGGAGTGGTAGTGCGGTGGTCAGCGCGCGTCGCTGCTAACCCGGCGACCCGAGTTCGAGATCCGCTCGCGGTCAACACCAGTGACGCGTATCGAGACTCGTCCTGTGCCTCGCCTAGGTCAACGCAGCCTTAAATTAGTACCCGGTGCTGATGAGCGCAAACATCAGCGTTGGGTCGACAAAGGGTTTCGAGCGTGGAGCTGTCCACAAACACCCCCCTCGTGAGCCGTGGCGTTTCTTTGTTGTTGCTCAACGGCACTTGACCTCTTGAGGCTACCTGGGGGATCTTTGTCTTTGTGCGAGCAGGCGTTTGGGTTCATGACGCGCGTCGCGATGCAGGCCGAGAAGATAAATCACCACCCAGAGTGGAGCAATATCTACAATAAGGTGAGGGACCACAGACACTCACCCCGCTCACCACCATCCCTCACCTCCTCACCACGATCCCTCACCTCCTCACCACGATCCATCAACCCCCTCTCACCACCACCACCCCTCACCCCCTCTCACCACTTGCCCTCACCCCCCCGTGATCCCCGCTCCCCTAGGTGAGCGTGACCCTGACGTCGCACGACTGCGGTGGGGTCACGGAGCGCGACGTGCGGCTCGCTCGCTTCATGGACAGAGCGGCCTCCACCACCACCTCCGCCACCACCACCACCGCCACCACCGCCGCCACCACCGCCACCACCGCCACCACCGCCTCCGCCACCTCCGTCACCACCGCCTCCACCACCACCGCCACCACCACCACCGCCGCGGCGGCGGCGACGAAGACAAAGACGACGCCGGCGACGTGAAGAGGGGGCGGCACACGAACTCCGTGTGTCCACAAAGACAACGATCGTGATGCAGATGATGGTGGTGACAGTGACGACGACGATAAGCATGATGCCTGTGATATAATGATGATGTTAACAACGATGATGATGATGACTGCAGTGATGGTGATGACAGTGACGATGATGACGAAGATGATAAGGATGATGTCTATGATAAGGATGTCTACAACGATGATGACGACGACGACCACCACGATATGACAACGATGAATCGTATGTTTTATGATGGCGATGATGACGACTGATGATGGCGATGCAAGCGATGGAACCCCCATGGGTGAGCTGTGCCTCCGGTGAACACCAATGACAGCGGAGGTGATGGTGGCGATAATAGCGATGCCAATGATGATGTCGAAGGTGATGATGGTAACGAAGATGATGACATGTCAGTGGTTGGTTGATGGTGACAGCCATGATGATGGTGATTTGACCGGACGCTACAGACGTTTCCACGATATTTTCCTTCTTCACAATAAATTGAGATGCTTGCTTTCGTCGGCGACTCCCTCGTCACTCCACTGCTGGATGGACGCCTCCTCACAGCCACCTCTTTGGTCACGGCGGCTTTTTGACCATGCTTCGCCGCGCTGGGCAGTGATGGTTTTTTTGGTGACGCGGGAGGCCCGCTGACCGGTTCAGATGCCGCTCGCCCTCGGTTTCACAGAACGCTCGTGGCCTGTTAAAAACATTCTTTTGTTGGAAAACCGGTAACCGCATGCGTGGTAAAAACCGGTTCAAAACCAGTTTTGGCGCACTTATAAAGAGAACGTCTCTCGCCAGACGCAATCGCCAACTGTTCCCCCCCTTTTTATTTGAAGCGTGGCACGAGGGCGAATGAACGTCGCCTTGACTGAGGCCGCCGTGCCGTCTCTACACTCGACCCCAGCCATCGATCGTCGCACTCGTTACACCCCCAGTGGGATAATCGCTCGCCGCTTCCTGGACCGGTTCGTGAAATTGGGTAGCCCGGTTCAAGACTACCCCCCCCACATCTCGGCAGAACATTGCCATGCGGAGTTACGAGCCGGCTGAACGTTAAACAAATAAGTAATAATTTTTAAAACCACGCTTTAATGAAATGTACCGTACTAGTAACGGTAGAACTCCACGACTCTAGGAAGTGGGCCCCGAAGCTTGCCACAACGTAAGGGGACCCGTGGTGATTTACAGCCAACGTGAGTTGAGCGTGAGCAATTAGACCCAAGCCGAAACATAACATAAAAAAAGAATGTTTAAAAATATAGATATTTATTTTTAATGATAGAAAATAGTATTGTCATCAGTATGACATACGTATACCAAGTTTGCAGTCGATACCACATTGGGAAGTGTGTTAAAATTGAGTTACAAGATTTGCGGATACAACAACAGAGTGAGTTAATAAAAAGCTAAAATTGAATTACAAGATTTGCGGATACAACAACAACAGAGTGAGTTAATAAAAAGCGTGTAATAAAAAGAGTGACGAATTACATAATCGGAAGGATGTTACCGTCTCGAGTAAAGGGGAAGATCTCGACGTTTCAGTAGATGGACATTTTGCAGGAATATTTCTGAATCAATATTTGGACACGCGTTAAAAATTTTTATTTTTGGGTACACGTTGAGTAATCGTTTTTTTTTTGGGGTGCACCTTGTAAATTGCCCCCCACCCCCCACCCCCCACCCTCACCTCCCATGTTGGTGTCGTCTCGTGCTCGCTTGGTGGCGCCACAGCGCCGTGGTGGCAAGGACATCGGAAGTGGAATCCCAATATTTGTCTTTTTTCACGTCCATCCGTCGACGTCGCTCCACAGCATCCTCCAACTCCATCGCGCAGAAGCTCGGCACGCGGAGGTGGTGGCGATGATGATGATGGTGGTGCTGGTAGTTGGTGGTGGTAGTTGACGGTTGGGTATCGTGGTGACTGTGGTGATGGGAGGAATACCCAAGAAGCTTCTAGAGGGGCCTCAACGGGCGCGGCACGGGCTGAAGAAGAGACGGAGTGATGTGGTTACAGGGGGGATGTGGAGCTGAGTGGATTTGCCGGTGACTGGTACCAGCGGTGTCAAGATCGGCCTCTGTGGAGGAGGCTCGTGAAGGACGCCGCTGGGCAGTTGGAGGCAGTCGCCCTCCCAACAACAGCGGAGGAGCGACGCTCACAACAGCGAGCGGAGGCGTCTGGTGGATAAAACTCAGCCAGGTGGGGCAGTGGGATAGCACAGGTGGTGCATCTGCCAGTCATCTCAGTCAACCCACAGCACCTGGGTCTGTCCCGTGAGCTGCTGCGCGGGGGATTTCGACCAATCACGTGGCCTCAATGTGCACCTAGCTTGGCACATGCTGTAGAGATGTCACCGCTATTTTGTGGCGAATGGTGGCAGTTGGTGGTGGAGGTTGTGGTTGAGGAAAGGGGAAAGAAGGAATTTTGGCCCAAACACCTGGAGCTGCTGTTCCGCGCAGAGAGAACAGGTGAAACCCCCCCCTCCACCCATCCCCTCTACCCCCCTCTACCCCCCTCTCCCTCTACCCCCCTCCCCTTCTACCCCCCTCCCCCTCTACCCCCCTCCCCCTCTACCCCCCCTCTACTCCCCCTCTACCCCCCTCCCCCTCTACCCCCCCTCTACCCCCTGCCCCTCCCCATCCAACCCCCTCCACCCCTTTCCACCCTCTTCCACCCCTTCCACCCCCCTCCATCCCCCTCCATCCCCCCTTCCACCCCCTCCACGCCTCCCCTCCATCGCTGACCCCTCCCACCTCCGTCCCCCTGTACCCCTCCCGCCCCGACCTCTTCTCTCCCCCCCTCCCTCTAATCGAGTACCAAGTCCACAGGGAGGGAGACGCGGGGTGTCCCAGCGCGTCTCCCTGCGCGTCTCCCTGCGCGTCTCTCCGTGTCTCCCCTGGTCTCTATGCATCCTCCCCCGCGTCTCCCTGCAGTCAGCCCGCGTCTCCATGCATCTCCACGTGTGTCTTCCCCCCGGGTCGCTCGCGTGACATTATCCACACGCACACATACTCACAAAAAACACAATTGCATATTCACGTGAATAAACACAAAGCCACGCAAATAAACACGCAACTATGTGCGCACACTACGCATACAATACACACCACTACACGAACGCAACGTGCCCCCCGTATAGCTTTCAGCAGACGATTGTGGCAAGTGCTGTTAGCGAGTAGCAGCACCTATGTAGGCCGGCACTGTGGTACACAAGGGGGTGGGTGGCCAGCACCGCGCCCGGCCGCCTTTGTCTCCCCAGTGGCGATGTTTGCTACACCCCGCACTCGTTTGAGGCTGAGTCGACGTAGGGGAGGCCCAGGACCGGTTCAATGGCGGAGCCAGGGTTTTCAGGTAGGGGGTACAACCCCTCCAGCAATGGAAAATGATAGAGGAGTTGTTAGTAAGTAAGGAGTTGTTAGTAAGTAAGGAGTTGTTAGTAAATAAGGAGTTATTAGTAAGTAAGGAGTTGTTAGTAAGTAAGGAGTTGTTAGTAAGTAAGGAGTTGTTAGTAAGGAGTTGTTAGTAAGTAAGGAGTTGTTAGTAAGTAAGGAGTTGTTAGTAAGTAAGGAGTTGTTAGTGAGTAAGGAGTTGTTAGTGAGTAAGGAGTTGTTAGTAAGTAAGGAGTTGTTAGTGAGTAAAGAGTTGTTAGTAAGGAGTTGTTAGTAAGTAAGGAGTTGTTAGTAAGTAAGGAGTTGTTAGTAAGAAAGGAGTTGTTAGTAAGTAAGGAGTTGCTAGTGAGTAAGGAGTTGTTAGTAAGTAAGGAGTTGTTAGTAAGGAGTTGTTAGTAAGTAAGGAGTTGTTAGTAAGTAAGGAGTTGTTAGTGAGTAAAGAGTTGTTAGTAAGTAAGGAGTTGTTAGTAAGTAAGGAGTTGTTAGTGAGTAAGGAGTTGTTAGTAAGTAAGGAGTTGTTAGTAAGGAGTTGTTGGTAAGTAAGGAGTTGTTAGTGAGTAAGGAGTTGTTAGTAAGTAAGGAGTTGTTAGTAAGGAGTTGTTAGTAAGTAAGGAGTTGTTAGTAAGTAAGGAGTTGTTAGTAATTAAGGAGTTAGTATGTAAGGAGTTGCTAGTGAGTAAGGAGTTATTAGTAAATAAGGAGTTAGTGAGTAAGTAAGGAGTTGCTAGTGAGTAAGGAGTTGTTAGTAAGGAGTTGTTAGTAAGTAAGGAGTTGTTAGTAAGTAAGGAGTTGCTAGTGAGTAAGGAGTTAGTAAGTAAGGAGTTGTTAGTAAGTAAGGAGTTGTTAGTAAGTAAGGAGTTGTTAGTAAGTAAAGAGCTGTTAGTAAGTAAAGACTTGTCCCTTGCTTTTTACTCGACGCGTGTGCGGCGATTACGCAGCCATCGATCGAGGGTCGAGTTCGAACCGCGTTGTGTGATCGGCATCACGCTCGCTGAAGGTGTCGATGCCTTCAGGGAAGTCGTGTACTGTAGACGCAACTGTGCACAATTCTGTGAGTCACTTATAACCGCTTTGCCGTTACTTATTGCCAATTATGGACTCAGACTATTGTTCTATCATCTCATAGAGTCACTGGCACGTAATAATAATTATATGCTACACAGTGGCAGTGGGGGTCGCAAAATGCCGATTTATTACTAATAAACAATGATCCGATCGAAATTAGGGATTTCGATCGGATCATTGCGGGGGGCACGTGCCCCCCCCCCCCCTCCACTGGCGGACCGGTCTTGGGGCTATGCGGGGGAGCTTCGTCTCTGTCTGGTATACTTTAATCTTCCGTACGACGGAGCACGTTGTTGTATTGTACGTCTGTGCTCCCGCGCCTGTGCTCGCAAGTACGAATCTGCACTGAGCACCGTGGTGAAGTATGGTCGAGGAATCCCCACGACCTCCGCCACGACCCACAGAGAACGCCGATACAGCAGTGGATTGACAAGAGGGATATACAGTACTCGTGTGCGTGTGTACACGTAAGCACGCGCGTGCGTCTAATAAAGATAACAGACAATACGTTTATTTTGTGATAATGCTTTGTGATTGTGGCAGGGGGTTGTCTGTTACTCAATAGCCACTATTCGGTAACTATTCGCGTAGCCTATTTAGAAACGGGGTCATCAGAGAAATGCGACGTTCATCAGGGCCACCCAGAGGTGTGTCCAACTCTCATTGCCCACTCGATCCCTCTCTCGCCTCTCTGTTCACGTGCCGTGAAGAAGGGTCGTTGCTCGAAACGTCGCCTATTGTTATTTTTTCTCCTTCCGAGGCCATAAACGGCGTTGTTGACGAGCGTGTTGATTTTGTGTTGTTATCATAACAACTATTACAGCCGGTGATCCTGAACTCATGTAAATTCTAATGACGGTCTACAATGGCAAGGCAGATTCAACGTGGCACCGATAGGTACTTCTTCACAGCGTGGTGCCGCGCTCACCACTACCGTAACCGCGCAAACCAGAGACGTACGAATACAAGATTCCCCCGCGAGATTATCTGGGCAAGTGCTGTTAGCGAGCACCTATGAAGGCCGGAACATCACACGAATTGGGGGTGGTGGTGTGAGT